AGAAAAAATCTGAGTTGAGATTCGTATTACTCGTGTCGTAATACCCCACTAAGGCAAGTTTCACAAAATTTAGACCCAAATCAATCCCCTAGTACTCCAAACTGTGCCAAAAATAATTTTGACTCAAATTGGCCAAAAATCGACAGTTTTATACAAAATAAACCCAGGAATCCGAATATGTGACTCTCATTTCGATTCGAGTGATGGTACCAAAAATATGAGCAAAATTCGAAATTTGGTGTCAAAATTCTAATTTTTGAGAACGAAAATAATTTTCTAGTCACAAAAATCAACTCACTTGTTTTGGGGTGTGTTCCCCGTCGAAAAAAATATGAAACGTGACGAATTTCGCAATGAGGGGGCTGTCACAGTGGCGTAGGTAGCGAATCGAGTCAATGGTACGTCCAAAATCGGTTCCAGGGGCGTAGAGGGCAATACTAATCGGCCCCTCCCATCTCTCCACCAATGTGGACAAATTTTCGAGGAATGTAAAGTCGCCCTGCGTGGTTATTGTCACACTTTCGTGACATTTGAACCGTTTTGAGGCCTTTATGTAATTGGTCAACACCCAAAATGGGCCTTTTTGGACGATTTGGGACACCATGGGACGATCATAACACTGGGTGAGGGTTTTTACCGTTCGTAAAACACCCAAACCGGGGGTGAATCCCCAAAAATCATTATTAATAACTCGAAAACACACAACTATAAGAACAGAAACGAAAAAAAATTTGGGACAAACTTGTCGCAAAAAACGAAACCTGCACACAAACATTGTTGTCAAATTTTGACACTAGTGTCACACTTGACCAGCACTAATGTCAAACCCCAAATTTTTGACTTAAACAAAAAAAACACAATTTATTTTTTTTAATATTTATTCGCATATACTGAGTGTTCACGCTTTGTGATAGTACAAAAGTAATATGTTTATAATCACCACATCAACTCGATAAGGCACATGAACCGCAATCACACGGCAAAAAATTACAATAAATTACTTAAAAATTAAGTACACAATGAGCAAAAAAAAAATTATGTATAAACACACAAGGAATTAAAACCTATCTGAGGAATAAATAGTCAGACTTGAGACTTGTCAGTCGGAAGTAAAAATAGCCTAAAGAAACATAAACACAAAAAAAATAATAAAATAAAATTTTCAATCATTTCAAAGCAACAATTAATAACAATAGTCCGTTCACTGTTTATGAGTACACATCAATACACACTAGATAATATTTCTTATGGCTTTTTTTTTGAAGCGTTGTTCATTTTTTTTACACCACTAATTACACAGCACAGCCTTTTTTCACCCCATACAAAACTTTCAGTTCGGGAAAAATGATCTTTTTGATGAGTTGATTGGTTTTGGCGGCCAACATTGCACGTTTTTGGTCTTTCTTGTAGATTTTTATGCCCGGGCGGTGGACGAGGAAGGCGTTGTTGAGGATGAGGAAGTCGTAATCCAGCACACATAAAGCGTATCCCTGAAAAAACACAAAATTTAGGGGAAAAAATAAAAAAAAAACTGAACTTTTGACAATATCTTCGAAACGGAAACTCGTAATGGCATAATTCGTGCAGATTCAAAATCTATGCCTCATTTTACGTTAGGAAACGCTTTTTTAGTCAAAATAGCGAAAAAAATGCTCGAAATAATTGAGAAAAACCATTAAAATTGGAAAATTCACAATCGGGGTGAACTTTTGCCCATATTTTCAAAACGAGTACCGATATCGAAATAATTCTTGCAGATTTAGATTCAGCGGCTCATTTTGCTTCAGAAAAGCCAAAATTTGAAAAAATAGAAATAAGACTCAAAAGAAGATCAAAAAAAAATTACTGATGGGAAAAAAATCAAAAAACCGTCCATATCTTCTCAATTATTCAAAAATCCCAATACTTTTTTTGAAATTAGAGTAATTTAGGTCTTTTTGTTTGAATAAATAACTTTGAAATAGTTTTAAAGCCCACATTTGTCAAAAAAATTCCGAAAATTGCCAAATTTTGAAAAAAACTCCGATGATTTCAAAACGACACATCAGATATAAACGGTTTTTTCAGAATAAAACTAACCCGTTTCAATTCATCATCCTACCAAATGTCATAACGATTGCTTAAAAAATGTCCCAAAAAAAAATATTTTTTTTGAAATTTTTTTGAAAAACTTGAAAAAATTGCGTTTTTTTGCGCTTTATTAAGCCCCGGAATTCCGGAATTAAGTTTTTTGACGTAAAATCACACAAGAATTACAATTTTGTTTACTAAATTGACTCTCGACGTGTACTTTTCGAGATAAAAGCCAATATTTGTGTTTTTTTTTTTGCAAATTTTGGGTTCAACAAAAAAGTAAAATTTTTGGGCAATATGAAAAACCCAAGTGACTCGAAATCTCACTCATCTGACGTAAAATTGTCTCAGAATTCCAAAACTGTCTTTATTTTTTACGTACGACCCGTACTTTTCGAGTTGAAGGCAAATATTTGATATTTTTTTGCAAAATTTAGGAGGGCAACCAAAAAATAGCAATTTTTGGGCAATTCTAGAACTCCAAGTGACTCAAAACCACACTCATTTGACGTAAATTAGTCTAAGGATTCCAAAACTGTCATTGTTTTTCTAGTACGACTCGTACTTTTCGAGATAAAGGCAAATATTTAAAAATTCGTTTGCAAATTTAGGAGGCCAATCAAAGAGTAGCAATTTTTGGGCAATTCTAAAACCCCGAGTGACTTAAAAACACACTCATCTGACGTAAAATTGTATAAGGATTCCAAAACTGTCATTGTTTTTCACGTACGATTCGTAGTTCTCGAGTTAAAGGCAAATATTTGGAATTTTTTTTGCAAAATTTGGGGACCAACCAAAAAATAGCAATTTTTGGGCAATTCTGGAACCCCAAGTGACTCAAAATCACACTCATCTAACGTAAATTGGTCTAAGGATTCCAAAACTGTCATTGTTTTTCTCGTAGAACTCGTACTTTTCGAGTTAAAGGCAAATATTTGAATTTTTTTTTCAAATTTAGGGGACCAACCAAAAAATAGCATATTTTGGGCAATTCTAAAACCCCAAATGACTCAAAATCACACTTATCTGACGTAAAATTGTCTTAAGATTCCAAAACTGTCATTATTTTTCACGTACGCCTCGTACTTTTCGAGTTATCGTCAAAAGTTCAATCAAGTTGTATTTTTTTCAACCTACCTGAGTCATCTTATCGCTTTTTCCCTCCCAACTCAACCTCTCGTCATACAAAGGATCAGCATGTGTCCCTATAAAAATCGGCTCCCAATGTATATACCTCCCGTTTCGTTTCCCAACATGAAACACCTTCAGGTCATCCGTTTCTTTAGCATTTTGCCACTCCTTAGCTTTTGGTATATTATGACAACCAGGACAAAGTTTCTTATGAAATGGTACCGCAGTACCATTATTTAACATTTCAATCAACTTTGTCTTGCTTTCGGGTACTTGCTGATTGGCACTCACTTCAAACAAATGAAGTGGAAAAACTTTAGGATTTTTACTGAGCAAAGGGCCGCTATTTTCGGCGATCATCGCAAGAAATTGCGGAATTATATTCGGACTGGGATAAAGTTCGATGTCGGATGGAAGAATGTAATGAGTTTGGGCCGTTTCGCGTGCAACGTTTCGACCCACATTGACCGGATAAAGAAGCTTCTTCTGGGTCTTGTACATCTGGTCGGAGGATACGTTAGCAAAAGGCGGGGGGAGGGAACAGTTGTAAGACTCCGTGAAGACGTGGTTGTGGCGAGGAACCTAAAAAAAAAACAAAATTTTACAAAACTTCGAGTCCACACGGCCCCCCTTTCATTTTTTAAAATTTTTGACACCGGAAATGGATTCAGCACGTCCAAAAACCCCCAAATACCGAGTTTCAGACCAATCGGAGCAAAAACACCAAAATCAAAATTTTGAAAATTTGATATTTTTGATTTTTTTAAATTGACCGAACTTGATGAAACTCACATAGTTTGTGTAGTGGGGGCCACAGTGACTAAATATGCAATCAAAATTCAATTATGACTTGTCGTTTTGACACAATAGCCGAAAATGTGAAAGTTTGGGTGCTAAATTAGCACCACAACTTAGCCCCATTACTAACTCGGCTCCGCCTTGACCGAATTCAACGAAATTTGCACCAAATATTTCTAGAGTCTCAATTAGACCAAGTGTAAAATTTGAATGCTATATGAATAGTATAAGGGGTCGAAATGGCACTCCAAATGTTGGGCATGAGGGCTACTGGTGTCCCAATAAAGTAAATCGAATTTTTGACACCATAAATGGATTCAGCAAGCCCCAAAACCCCCAAATTCCAAATTTTGTGCCAATTGGACAAAAAAAAATTTAGCCCAAAATTTTCAAAAATCGTATTTTTTGACTGTTGAAATTTTGACTAGACATATTTTTGACTCTACTATCAAAATTTAGCTATAAATACGATTAAATCAATTAAAAATTCTTGATAAATTCCTTAAAACCGGTCAAAGACACTCCATGACGTAAAACATCAAAACCGCTTGATTGAGTAACAAATTTCAAGTACGAAAAATAAATTAGTCATTTCATTGTTCCAATCAAGGTAAAGATGTGCACATGACATCACACCGCATCAAAGAAAAATAATTAAAAAAGTTGTACCCATCTCTATGAACAAAACTTCTAATTTAACTAATAACTCGGCTTCGCCTTGATCGATTTATATAAAATTTATGACAAATGCCACACTAATTGGCCAAAAGAGTCGGTTAAGGGGCTACAAGAGCCCCCTCGAATTTTATGAAATTTTCAAACTCAAAAATCGATTCAGTAGGTCCAAAAACCCCCAAATACCAAGTTTTGTTACAATCGGCCCAAAAAAATTTGAGCCCAAAATTTCCAAAAAAAAACGCTTTTTGAGTTTATTTTTGGTCAAATAGCAACGAAATATGAACTAGAGATAAATTTCGGGACATTTTATACAAATCTGTGATTAAATATCATAAAAATGAGTAGTTTAGCCACAAAATGGCAAAGGGTGCTAAGTTAGGGTGCTAACTAACTTGCTTCATTTACTCGGCTTCGTCTCAACCGTTTAGAATGAAATTTTCAGGGTGTGTTCCTAGACGGTTTAGTAGCACAATTGTGAAATTTGGACCCCTTACGGGGTCGATAAGGGGTCGAAAAAAATTAATAAAGTTAGGACCTACCTCTTTGGGGACATGTTTCGTGCTAAAATACACATGAAACGTGACCAATTCCCTAACCAAACTTTCAGTACAATCCCTCAAGTAGGCGATGGACTCTATCGTGTTCTTAAAGTCCGTCCCTGGCGCATGCAGGGCCAGACTCACAGGCCCTTTCCACCTCTCCAACAAGGGCAACAAATTATCCATGAAGGAATAATCGGCGTGCGTCGTATACGTCACACTTTCATGACATTTAAACTTTTTCTCGGCCATGACGTAGTTGTAGAGCACCCAATAGTCGCCCCTTTGTTGGACTCGGGGGGCCATGGGCCGGTCCAGACACCTGGTGACCTCCTTCACCCTGTCGAAGACGTTGACGGGACTCTGGGGGGTGGTGGAGGGCGCCTTGGTGGCCTCGTCGAGGGGCTCCATGGGCTCGAGGGCGGCGAGATTACGCCCCGATTGCTGCAACTCGCGGATGGCCTCGGTTGCCCGGTTGGTGGTCAACACGTGGATGAAGAAGTAGACGGCGATGATGCCCAGAGTGCATTTCACGGCGAAGGCTTTACGATTGCTGTACATTTTACTTTTTGCGGCCTGGAGGTCGATGTCGGAGGTAGGAATGGAGGGACATGCCAGATGGTCAAAGGGCCGGAGAAAAAGCTGCAAAAAATCACAAAATTGCATTTTTTTGAAATTTCAAAATGGTACGTTAAGAATGAAATTGGTACAGTTTGTGTGTTGAGAGTCAAATTGACAAAATCCGCAATCAGTTTTCATTTCCGATTTTTCGTTTAGACGCAATGGTCAAAAGTTTGGGTGCTAGGTTAGTAGTACTGTTCATAACTCGGCTCTGCCTTGCCCGATTTCAATGAAATTTTTACCACAGCTTTCCAGGACCCCAACTAACCCAACACTGTACGATTAGTACAAAGGGCCAAAAAGGCACTCTGAGTATTTGACATAGGGGTACCGGCCTCCCCTTTCATTTCACCGAAATTTCAACTTTAGAAATGGGTTCAGGAGGTCGCAAAACCCCCCAAAACCGAATTTTATGCAAATCGGTTGAAAAAAAATTAACTCAAGAATTTCCAAAAATCGCATTTTTTGACATTGATTTTGGGCCATAAAACGTGGAAATTGTCAAAAACTCGTAAATTGTGTTGCATCTTGTGGCGTTATCTTTTTGGTCGCAATAGCTTCAAAATATATGAATTTGGGTACTAAGTTAGCACCCTAATCTAGTATTGTTCTTAACTCGGCTCCGCCTTGCTCTATTTTAATAAAAATTTTACCACATCTTTCCAGTATCCCAAATAACCCAAATGTCAAATTTCAACACTGTACGATTAGTACAAAAGGCCAAAAAGGCACTATAAGTGTTTAACATGGGAGTACCGGCCTCCCCTTTAATTTCACCGAACTTTGAACCTCAGAAATGGGTTCAGGAGGTCGCAAAACCTACCAAAACCGAATTTTATGCAAATCGGTTGAAAAAAATGTAACTCAAAAATTTCCAAAAATCGCATTTTTTGACATTGATTTTAGCCATGGGACGTAGAAATTGACAAAACTCGTAAATTTTGTAGCAACTTGTGGCTAGCTTGAGTCTTACTTGGTCGCAAAAGCTTCAAAGTATACGAATTTGGGTACTAAGTTAGCACCCTAACCTAGTACTAGTCATAACTAGGCTCTGCCTTGTCCAATTTGAGCGAAATTTTCACCATGGGTTCTCAATGTGACAGATAACCCAAATATCAAATTTAAACACCATGCTATGAGTTTAAAAGGTCAAAAGGGCACTCTAAGTGTTTGACATGAGGATACAGGCTTCCCCTTTCATATCACCAAATTTTCAACCTTAGAAAAGGATTCAGGAGGCCGCAAAACCCCCCAAAACCAAATTTTATAAAAGTCGGCTAAAAAAATTTTAGCTCAAAAATTTCCAAAAATCGCATTTTTTGATATTAATTTTAGCCATAGGACTTGGAAATTGTCAAAAAATCGCAAATTTTGGCTTAAATCGTTTCAACTTGAAGTTATTTTTTCCTATTTGGTCGCAACAACTTCAAAACATGTGAATTTTGGTGCTAAGTTAGCACATTAACCTAGTACTAGTCATAACTCGGCTCTGCCTTGTCCGATTTGTGTGAAATTTTCACCAAACATTAACAAAATCCTTAGCAACTCAAACACAAACTTTAAATATCATACGGCTATTAAAATCGCCAAAAAGACCAACAAAAGAAATTTAAAAAAACTGATTTTTTCACTTTAGTTTTGATCCAATTGTGATAAAATTTAGACCATGTGTGTATTCTAAGCCGTTAATTTCAAATCCGTAATCAGAGTTTGTTTCCAATCTCTCGTTTAGCCAAAAACAAAAGAGATGCTAACTTAGCACTCTGATATAGCACCATTACTAGCTCGGCTTTGCCTCAACCGATTTGGACAAAATTTGGACCACACATTCGTGGCATTTCAACTAACCCATACGCAAAATTTGAAGCCAATACAATTATTAGGAACGGACAAAAAGGCCTTCACAATAAAATCGCAATTTTAAACTGTTAGTTTTAAAAGCATTATCATCACGTTTCTGGTTTTGCGCTCTAATCACGTATTGTAAACAATCTCCAGCATAAAATATCGATTGTCCAGTGTCAACATTTGTAGAAAAACTCTCTTAATGAACTCGTAATGAAAATTTGTGTTGACGGAAATCTTGCAAAATCTCTGTGGAAACTTGTTTCAAAAGAACGGGTTACTGGCCTTAATTCAGATTAATTATTTGGATCGATCGTGCTTGAGCGGATTGATGATGAGATAAACGAAGACTTGTTTTTTGCTCATTAACATTTTCTCAACGAAAATTGGGATATTAAAGAAAATCGAGAAAATTTCTGTTATTTTAATTAATTTGCTTTTTCGATAATTTTTTCTCATGAATTCGATCGAAAAATATTTATAAAATTATAGAAATATAGAAACTACTGAATCATTAAAAATTGATCAACATTATCATCATTACGAGTTTCACTCTGTTTGCAAAGTAATCAAATGAGCAAATCGGAAAAGTAATTAAATGTCGAGGAAAAAAAAACGAAAAAAAAATTAATCTTGAAGGAAATTAATTTCCTGTCAAGTTGTGGGACTGAAGAACCGCAGATATTGCCAATTATTTCATTTTTCTACTTAAAAACGCGAAAAAATTCACCCAGCTTGGCCAAGGCGGAGCCGAGCCCCCCAACAATAAGTTTCTCATATTTTCACCTTTTTTAATCCCCGGATTGAGTTCAAATTTCACATGTGGGTTACTAGAAGCCTTAGTATTGCCCAATAAAAATTTCGTTTGAATTGGCCCAGGCAAAGCCGAGCAATTAAAAAAAATCCCTAACTCACCTGTTTTTTTTTCACTCAATGATTAAAATTTAATTTCTCCATTTATAATCCCCAGATTGCGTTCAAATTTCACATGTGGGTTACTAAAGGCCTTAGTATTGTCCAGTAAAAAATTCGTTTGAATCGGCCCAGGCAAAGCCGAGCAATTTGAAAAAAATCCTTAACTCACCTGTTTTTTTTTCACTCAATAATTAAAATTCAAAAGCATCACTTGGCTCCAGGCACTTCGCGAACAAACTGAGAGAATTTTTAACGCAAACTATTAGTAAATACCCCTCCGGGGATCAAAATGACGTACTTTACAGCTTTAATCATCGATAAAGTTGAACAAATTGTTCTGCAATGTCGAATCGAAGGACGTTAAAATTGTTAGAAAAATTGTGTAAAAGAAGGTGAAGCTTCCTGGTCGTGTTTTGGGGTCTATTTTTAGCCCCCTTTGGCTTCGCTCCAATCATTTCACCGCAACGTTTTATTAGTTTACTCGAGTCTAATTGCTCTAAAAAATTATTCGATTTGAAGTTTTAATTCGTTGATGGATTCATAGAAATGTTTTGTGTAATGAGAAGAGTTGGAAAATATAGTTTTTGTTATCTTCGGAAATGATGATTAATTTGTGATCGATTTTGAAGTTATCGGTGCTTGATCTCGAAGCTAATTTTAGAAAAAATGTCATTTTTGAATTATAAAATATTCAATTATGAGGTTTTAGTGGCTTAAATGAGTCAATAATGATTCAAAATTTCGTTGTTGGTTTAGAAAATACAAATTTTTGAGTTTAAGTTGAGGTTCAATTATGTTTTTGCCCATTCATAGCAAACACCATTTTTTTCGCACAGTTCCAGTCAATATTTTTGAATGAAATTTTGGGGGTTAATAGATATTAGTTAGGGCTGTAAAAGGACCAAATTTCATTGTTGGGAAAAATCGGGTTCGGGAGATATGAATTTTTGAATTTAAGTTGAGGCAAAAAAAATTTTTGACCGGTGATACCAAACATGATTTTTTTTCGCATAGTTCCAATAAAAAAATTTTTGTGGAATTTTGGGGATTAATAAACACTATAATGATCCATCATCAGCCCTTATGCCATCATCAAAAAACATCTATTTTTGAAGTTACAAATTTTTCAATTTTGGCAGTCACTGTCTATGTGGTTCAATCAAAGTCCAATGTTTTGGACACCCTTGCCGTGCAAATATTTTAATAAAATTTGGAGGATTGGTAGACCTGTACTAGTACTATAAATAACCCAAATCTCATTACTAAAAAATTATCGGTTCGCGAGATACAAATTTTTGATTTAAGTTGAAGCACAATTTCGTTTTTGCCCTCTGATACCAAACATGATTTTTTTTTCGCATAGTTCCAATCAAATTTTTTTAGTGGAATTGTAACGCCTATTAGACACTATAGTGACCCATCATCGTCCCTCATGTCATCGTCAAAAAGCTCCTATTTTTAAAGTTACAAATTTTTCAATTTTGGCTATTACTGTCTCTGGTTCAATTAAAGTTCTGATACCAAACAAGAATTTTTTTCGCATAGTTCCAGCCAATATTTTCAAATGAAATTTTGGGAACTAATAGGCATTTAGCAGGGCTATAATTACCCAAAATTTCAATCTTGAAAAAAAACGGGTTCGGAAGAAAAAAATTTTGAATTAAATTTGAAGCACAATTTCGTTTTTGCCCTCTGATACCAAACATGAATTTTTTTCGCATAGTTCCAATCAAAAATTTTTTAGTGGAATTTTAGGGACTAATAGACACTATAATGACCCGTCATGGGCCCTTATGTCATCATCAAAAAGCGTCTATTTTTAAAGTTACAAATTTTTCAATTTTGGCTGTCACTGTCTATGTAGTTCAATCAAAGTCCAATGTTTTGGGCACACTTGTGTGCAACTATTTTAATAAAATTTGGGGGATTGGTAGACCTGTACTAGTACTATAAATAGCCCAAATCTCATTACTAAAAAATTATTGGTTCGCGAGATACAAATTTTTGATTTCACGTTTAGGCAAAATTACGTTTTTGCCCACTGATGCCAAACATGATTTTTTTCGCAAAGTTCGAATCAATTTTTTTTGATGAAATTTTGGGTGGTAATAGATATTAGTTAGAGCTATAAATGTGCAAAATTTCATTATTGAAAAAAATCGGGTTTTGAAAATATGAATTTTTGAAAAGACAAAAATGTCAAAAAAAAATTTCATTTACGCTCTTTTGATAATCGATAATTAAGTATAAAATAAATAGAAAAATGTAAAAAATCTATTGTAAAATGACTCAACAATAATAAAACCAATTTTTACAAATTTTAATTTCCTTCCATAAACACAGTCCTTCAATTTGCTTTAAGTGGCATAAAATTCGCGTTTATGGCTCCATAAAATTGAAATCATGACAAGCACAATAATAATTTTGAAACGAAACAAAAATGATAAAAATTTCACCACTTTCGACTTTCAAATCAAATGTTTCTATGGCCGAAAATTCCGTCGACTCATCTTCAAACTGCGAAAAAAACTCACCTTGAGCTAACACCTTGTCCATTCGTGGAAAAGTCAACGAAACATCCGAAAAATTCGAAAAGGCGTGGTTTCTGCAACAAAAGAATGACGATTATTTCAAACCGCAGGTCACTAGAAGGACAATTTCCATCTTCAAGGCGAAATTTTGCATTAATCGATAGTTTACACGTGACCGACGAAAATTTAACTAAATTTTGTTGATTGTCAATATTTGCAAGTGGTAAAAATCAAGGATGGGCAATCTTCATGCTTGGGGGATTTTGGTCACTGAACTTTGGGGGAATCAAGGACATGCCACTGAAAAGAAGACTTTTTCAGGAGAAAAAAAGACAAATTGTGATGAGTTGTAACGAGAACTAGCACTGAAAATTTAGAAGTTTTGTCAATTTTTTTTCGCATAGTTGGAGTCAATATTTTTAAACGAAATTTTGGGAACTAATCGGCATTTAGCAGGGCTGTAATTACCCAAAATTTCATTCTTGAAAAAAGCCGGGTTCGGAAGAAAAAAAATTTTGAATTGAAGTTGAAGCACAATTTCGTTTTTGCCCTCTGATACTAAACATAATTTTCTTTCGCATAGTTCCAATCAAAATTTTTTAATGGAATTTTGAGGACTAATAGACACTATAATGACCCATCATCAGCCCTTATGTCATCATCAAAAAGCTTCTATTTTTAAAGTTACAAATTTTTCAATTTTGGCTATCACTGTCTCTGATTCAATTAAAGTTCTGATACCAAACAAGAATTTTTTTCGCATAGTTGGAGTCAATATTTTTAAACGAAATTTTGGGAACTAATCGGCATTTAGCAGGGCTGTAATTACCCAAAATTTCATTCTTGAAAAAAGCCGGGTTCGGAAGAAAAAAATTTTTGAATTGAAGTTGAAGCACAATTTCGTTTTTGCCCTCTGATACTAAACATAATTTTTTTTCGCATAGTTCCAATCAAAATTTTTTAATGGAATTTTGAGGACTAATAGACACTATAATGACCCATCATCAGCCCTTATGTCATCATCAATAGCTCCTATTTTTAAAGTTACAAATTTTTCAATTTTGGCTATCACTGTCTATCTGGTTTAATCAAAGTCCAATGTTTTGGACACCCTTGCCGTGCAAAAATTTTATTAAAATTTGGGGGATTGGTAGACCTGTACGAGTACTATAAATAGCCCAAATCTCATTACTAAGAAATTATCGGTTCGCGAGATACAAATTTTTGATTTAAGTTGAAGCACAATTTCGTTTTTGCCCTCTGATACCAAACATGATTTTTTTTCGCAAAGTTTCAATCAATATTTTTAAACGAAATTTAGTGGGTGAATAGGCCTTAGGCAGGTCTATAATCACCCAAAATTTCATTATTGAAAAGGCTCAAGTTGGGAAGAAAAAAAATTTTGAATTTAAGTTTCATCAAAATTATTACCACTAAATTTAAATTTTTCTCACACTGTTCTAGTCAATATTTTTTAATGCAATTTGAGTATGTTGGCGGTACCTAATGGGGCTCTAGCCTCGACCAAGTCGCATTTATTTTTTTTATCCAATTACCATTTTCCAAGTCGAAAAAAACAGATGTCTCTGAGCATTAAATGGAACAGGGAAGGTCACCGATTGACTTAATTGACTTTCTAATACGATTTAATTGATTCTATTTCTTAATTTAATTGAAACAAATAGGAAAATCGAATTGTAGCGACGATAAATGTCATTTTACTTTTACTTCAACTTGAGCCAAGAATTTATCCCAGAAATTATTTTACTTTCTAATTTAAGAAAATTTCGCAATTGCTGATTATTCTCCAAGCAAAAAACAATGCATCGTTGCTTCCTCTATTCTATTTAAATCCGGTTTTAATCTCGTTAAGACTTATTCTAGTGTTGCAAGGTCGTTTCTGGTGTCAAGTAGATTAACAATTGTAGAAATTTTGTTCACCTTCAGTCAAGATTAATTTACGTCATTTGTCGATTTTATTGATTCACCAAAGGGTCAAAAACACCCTGAAAGGAAATTAGAGACTTCAGTTTTTCAGGTTTCAGGTCACGGTTGCGACTGGTTTATGGTAATGAGGAAGGACAGTTAGAAAGACTGGTTTAGAGGACACGAAATTGGAGTTTTGATTTTTTTATTTAAAAATTTTGCATGATTTCTAATTATGATTTTGCACTAAAACACACTCAAGTTTTATCTTACCTGTTATGAGTGATAAAAACGTCATTTTGTTTCAATTTGAAATCAAAAATTTGTATCTTTTGGGCCTGAACTTGTTTGGCCACGAAATTTTGGGTAATTACTGTCCTGGTACAAGTGTATTAGTACCCAAAATTTCGTTGAAAAATTTTAATAGGAAGTACTCGAAAAAAAAAATTTTAGCATAAGAGGGCCAAAACGTAATTGAACCTCAACTTGAATTCAAATATTCATAACTTCCGAACCAGACTTTTTCCAACAATGACATTTTGGGTAATTATAGCCCTGCTAGATGCCTATTCACTTCTAAAATTTCGTTAAAAAATATTGACAGGAACTGTGCGAAAAAAAATCATGTTTAACATCAGTGGGCAAAAACGTAATTTTGCCTAAACTAGAAATCAAAAATTTGTATCTCGCGAACCGATAATTTCTTAGTAATGAGATTTGGGCTATTGATAGTACTTGTACAGGTCTACCAATCCCCCAAATTTTATTAAAATCGTTGTACCGCAAGGGTGTCCAAAACATTGCAGTTTGATTGAACTACATAGACAGTGACTGCCAAAATTGCAAAATTTGTAACTTTAAAAATAGAAGCGTTTTGATGATGACATAAAGGCTGATGATGGTTCATTGTAGTGTCTATTGGTCCTTAAAATTTCACAAAAAAATTATAATTCGAACTATGCGAAAAAAAATTCTTGTTTGGTATCAGATGGCAATAACGAAATTGTGCTTCAACTTAAATTCAAAAATTTTTTTCTTCCAAACCGGGCTTTTTTCAACAATTAAATTTTGGGTAATTATAGCCTTGCTAAATGCCTATTAGTTCCCAAAATTTCGTTAAAAAATATTGCCTAGAACTATGCGAAAAAAATTCTTGTTTGGTATCAGAACCAGAGACAGTAATAGACAAAATTGAAAAATTTGTAAAAAATAGAAGCTTTTTGATGGTGGCATAAGGGCCTAATGATAGGTCATTATAGTGTCATTAGTCCCTAAAATCCCACTAAAAAATTTTGATTGGAACTATGCGAAAAAAAATCATGTTTGGTATCAGAGGGCAAAAACGAAATTGTGCCTCAACTTCAATTCAAAATTTTTTTTCTTCCGAACCCGACTTTTTTCAAAAATGAAATTTTGGGTAATTATAGCCCTGCTAGATGCCTATTCACTCCTAAAATTTCGTCAAAAAACATTGACTGGAACTGTACGAAAAAAAATCTTGTTTGGTATCACAGGCCAAAATTTTTTTTTGCCTCAACATAAATTCAACAATTCACATCTTCCAAATCCGATTTATTTAAATAATGAAATTTGGTGAGTTGATAGACGTTAGGAAGCCCTATCATGAGCCCCAAAACGGCACTCTCGAATTTAGTTTTTTCCGAGTTAGAGAAATTTTTAATGAAATTAATGTGTGATTGAACCCAGAACCCCATCTGGTCATTAAAACCCAATGAGTCATTCTGTAAGCAGATGCTAAGCAGTTCTACCAACTTTTCAAATTCCAAACTCACCCAAATCGTCGATTTCCAACCGTCGAGATTCCGCAATAATTGACATTTCTTGTATTCAGCTAATGGCTCATTGTTGCGATTATTTCGGACAAGAAAAGAATCGATTTCACTTTACTTCAAGATTAGATGACCGGAAATTTTTTTATCAACTCAATTTTCTTCCATTAAGCGTTGAAAAAACCACTTGACCACTTCTTACCAAGACAATTAGGAGGATTGTTCGTTATTATAACTGTTCAACACTAGAGAGCAAAATCAAGAAAAGTAAATAAGAAGATAACGGAATCGCAACGAAAATTTTTCTGTATTATTTTTTCGGATTTCCGTTGGTTGAACTTTGCGACCTTTGGCGCTTTATCCAGTGAAAAAATTGTGACACAAATAGAAATGAAATTGTGTTAAAATTCATCGCACGGTTTGAATAAATCACATATTTATTGTAGATGACGCAATTTTGAAATTGGCACGAGGATCGTGAAATGGATTTTTCGAATTCCGGTGCGTGGGGGAGCTTAATTTGATAAGAGGAAGTGTAGGAGGAGGAGGATGTTGGTTGGGACAAGTGTATTTGATTTATTTGTAATTTCAAAAATAAATTAGTATTGGAAATGCCCTTTTGGGGTATGATAGTTGTGCTATTGGTCCACAAAGCCTCAAAATTGCATTAAAAAATTTGCATTTTAACATTGACAAAAACTTGATTTTTAAAGTGACTTACAATAGTGACCGTGTCAAATTTTGAAAATTTTTATCATCTAAACTGTGCAAGATTTTTGGATGAAATTTTGGGACTTAAGAGACAGTGACTGGGGCTATAATTACCCAAAATTTTATTGTTAGAAAAAATCGGGTTTGGGAGATATAAATTTTTGAATTTAAGTTAAGGCAAAAATACGTTTTCGCCCTCTGATACCAAACAAGATTTTTTTTCGTACAGTTCCAGTCAATATTTTCTAACGAAATTTTAAGAGTGAATAGGCTTCTAGTAGGGCTATAATTACCCAAAATTTCATCCTTGAAAAAAGTCGGGTTCGAAAGAAAAAAAAAATTGAATTGAAGTTGAGGCACAATTTCGTTTTTGCTCTCTAATACCAAACATGATTTTTTTCGCATAATTCCAATCAAAATTTTTAGTGGAATTTCGGGGACTAATAGACACTATAGTGACCCATCATCAGCCCTTATGTCATCATCAAAAAGCTTCAATTTTTAAAGTTACAAATTTTTCAATTTTGGCTATCACTGTATCTGGTCCAATTAAAGTTCTGATATCAAACAAGAATTTTTTTCGCAAAGTTCCAGTCAATATTTTTTAACGAAATTTTAGGAGTGAATAGGCATCTAGCAGGGCTATAATTACCCAAAATTTCATTCTTGAAAAAGCCGGAATCGGAAGAAAAAAAATTTTTAATTTAAGTTGAAGCACAATTTGGTTTTTGCCCTCTGATACCAAATATGAATTTTTTTCGCATAGTTCCAATGAAAATTTTTTAATGAAATTTTGGGGACTAATAAAAACTATAATGACCTGTCATGGGCCCTTATACCATCATCAAAAAACATCTATTTTTAAAGTTACAAATTTTTCAATTTTGGCTATCACTGTCTATCTAGTTCAATCAAAGTCCAATGTTTTGGACACCCTTGCCGTGCAAATATTTTAATAAAATTTGGGGGATTGGTAGACCTGTACTAGTACTATAAATAGCCCAAATCTCATTACTAAGAAATTATCGGTTCGCGAGATACAAATTTTTAATTTCTCGTTTAGGCAAAATTACGTTTTTGCCCACTGATGCCAAACATATTTTTTTTTAAGTTCCTGTCAATATTTTTCGACAAAATTTTGGGAGTTAATAGTCATTAGGCAGAGCTTAAAATCTGCAAAGTTTCATTGTTGAAAAAAATTTGGTTAGATAGATAATAGATAATCTATCATCAATACCAGGAAGCTTTAATTTTTCGAGTATTTTTCAAATTTGGATTAAAACAAATCAAGTTGGCTGCAACAAGGTTAAAAAACAGCCACAAAACAATTAACATTTATCCCAAGATAAACAAATGACATCAAATTCTCGTTATTTACCAAAAATTAAATAAATCTTTGCAATAAAATAATAAATTCTTGGACCCAAAAACCACTCACTTAACAACAGAATTATCCTTTCCTCATAAATCACCCTTCACTAATCCCTCCCCCGCCATGGCGCCTCCTAATTACCCTCAACTTTCACAAATTCCTCAAAATTTTATACTCGTCCCACTTTTCTTAAAAAATCAATTCCAGAAAAAGAAAAAAGCCTCGAAATCGAACACATTAAAAATTACATACCGGAAAACCCGATCGATGTCTCTCACTATAAACACCTCTCACAGCGACGACCAACCAATGACTGAATTCAATTCTCCTCCTGAAACCAGACCGACCACGTTTCCAACTGGTAAAAGCGCACGACGATGTAAAGTGAAGCGAATCGGAGGAAAAAAACATCATACTCACTTTTTAGCGGAAAAATAAGCCGAAATTTGGACTTGACAGGTGCCAAAACCCCCAAATACCGAATTTTGTAACAATCGGAGCAAAGTGACTTTTTCAAAAAAAATGAAAAATTGTCAAAATTTGACAAATTTAGTCATGAAAAACTTGAAATAATAGTAAAACTCAAATTACTTATCGATTTTAACTCATTTTGTCGGGTTTCAAACTAAAAAACTCATAATTTTTGAGTTTGAACACAATTTTGGGTGCTAAATCTGGCACCGTTTTGAAAATTGATACGACATAGGGTCACAGGGCCCCCCAAGAAGACAAATAAGTCGAGAAATGGATTCAGGAGGCCCCAAAACCCCCAAATCCAGAATTTTGTGACAATCTAACCAAACTGACTTTAGCACCCAATTTTCAAAAATCTCCAAAAAACCATAAAATTTGGCCATTTCAAATATAAAAACCGTGAGGTAATAATAAAACTGAGAAATCTATCGTTTTTAAGACACTGTTTAAAGTTTTAAATCCTAAACTATATTTTTTTTTAATTTTGGTGCTAACTAGAGTGCTAGTCTTGTAATTTGGGTAAAAATTGTCCGATTTGATTGAGATTTTCATCAAACTTTTATTTGGCTTTAAGTAAAATACTGTATTAATTTGAGACAATTGTTTTGATCTGGAGCCACGGTATGGCCCCTAATTGGGGGCTAGTAGACTAAAAAATTAAAAATTGATACGAAATATAGTCACAAATGAATAATTAAGGCGAGAAATGGCTTCAGCAGGTCCCAAAACCCCCGAATCCGAAATTTTGTGACAATCTGACCAAGATTACTTTAGCACCAAATTTTCAAAAATCACCAAAAAATCATAAAATTTGGCAATTTCAAATGTAAAAACAGTCAGGTAACAATAAAACTTGAAAATTTGACGTTTTTAAGTCATTGTTTTAATTTTCAAATCCTAAAATATGTTTTTTTTAAATTTCTGTACTAACTAGAGTGCTAGTCTTGTAATTGGGATAAAAATGGTCCGATTTGATTGAGATTTTCACAAAACTTTCTATTGGCTTCAAGTAACTTACTGTACAAAACTGAGCAAATTATTTTGATCTGGAGCCACGGTATGGCCTCTAATTGGAGACTAATAGATTAAAAATTCAAAAATTGATACGAAATAAGGTCACAAAGCCCTCCAAATAAATAATTAAGGCGAGAAATAGCTCCGGAAGGCCCCAAAACCCCCAAATCCCAAATTTTGTAACAATCTGACCAAAACAACTTTAGCACCAAATTTTCAAAAATCTCCAAAAAACCATAAAATTTTGCCATTTAAAATGTAAAAAATGTCAGACAATAATAAAACTTGAAAATTCAACAATTTTAACTCATTGTTTTAAGTTTTAAACTCAAAAAACATGTTTTTTGGACATTTTGGTGCTAACTAGAGTGCTAGTCTTGTATTTTGGGTAAAAATTGTCCAATTTCAATGAAATTTTCACCAAACTTTTATTTGGCTTTAAGTAGAATACTGTATTAATTTGAGCCAATTATTTTGTTCTGGAGCCCTGTTATAGCCCCTAATTTGGGGCCACTGGACCCAAAAATCAAAAAAATCGAGTTTTATTCGCTTCTTTTCAAATAAAATCAAACAAAAACACAAAATTTTCACTTTCTTATTAATTCAATCTTTAACAAAGAGTACAAAAGGCTATTAAATCAGTAATAATCCATTGTAATCGCCAATAAAACCAATTGATCTTTTCGAAAAAAATCAGAAACTAGTTCATCACGCAAAATTATGTGCACATTTCGCAGAAATCCGGAAACAGCGAAGCAAATATTTCGAATTTGTTTAGCAAACACAAAGTCTAATTAAAAACCGATTGCAACGTCGTCTGATTGTGAATAAAATTAATTAGATTGGATTTGAAAGTTTCCACTGGACACGAGTGTGAGAAAATCTCCGTTTAAAATAATGAGTAAACAATGAGAAACATAAATATTCGTTCGTTTACCTTCTCGGAATGGTATTAAAATTTAAATCCAAGTGTGCGTTGCGAGAATGACATAATGCGAATATGGGCGGAAAGTTTTACCACAAGATGGGTTTTTTTTCAACGTGTGACCTCATTTTTCGACTTTGATTTACAAAAAAAATCAAATTGGTGCTAAATCTAGCACCCGAATTAGCCCAAAAGTCCAAAAAAACAAGTTTTTTTGGATTTAATAATTAAAACAATGCACTAATATCAACGAAAAATTCACATTCTGCTGTTTTTATAGCCAAATTTTGATTATTTTTGAAGATCTTTGAAAATTTGGCCCTAAAGTCATTTTGCTCCGATTGGCCCAAAATTCGGAATTTAGGGGTTTTGACACCTCCTGAACCGATTTCACGAGTTAATTTTCCAAATTTCTTATTAATTTTCGATTTTTTCACCTTGAATCCGTTCGCCGCCTACTCAATGAAAGTAAAGTACCCAAAATTTGGGTCATTTAAATACGTTCAAGGTCACGAAACTTACATCGTAATCCCATCTTTGATTTACAAAAAAAATTCAAATTAGTGCTAAATTTAGCACCCGAGTTAGACCAAAAGTCCAAAAATCAACGTTTTTTGGGTTTTTTATTGAAACAATGCACTAATATCAACGAAAAATTCACATTCTATTATAATCTGCCGTTTTAACAGCCGAATTTTGATTATTTTTAAAGATTTTTGAAAATTTAGCCCTAAAGACATTTTGCTCCGATTGGCCCAAAATTCGGATTTTGGGGGTGTTGAGACCTCCTGAATCCATTTCTCGAGTTAATTTTCCAAATTTCGTAATAATTTTCGTTTTTTTCAATGAAAGTAAAGTACCCAAAATTCGGGTCACTTAAATACGTTCAAGGTCACGAAAAATCAATCCTACCAACCTAACCCACATCGTAATCCCATCTAACGGTTAAATTGAAACGGTTATAAATTCGCAATTAAGTTATGATAATCGCGAATAATTACAACAAAACCCGAAAAAAAAAAACAGTTGGATTGGTAGTACCGTTGCGACTGTCCATATTTGTTAAAAATGTGGTATACGTCCAACGCCCATCTATGGTACTAGTCGACGAAATTAGAAACACGTGCTTTGACCCATATGGGTTCATCCGTAACTGATTCGTGGTAAATTTCAGTTTGCGCAAGCTGGCTGTGTAACAGGATATTGTTTTGGGGTTTGAAAATCGCCGTAGGCTATGACTGTCATTATGGGGAATTACCGAATTTTGGGAACTTGAAATTACAATGGTTTACCATGTTGGTAGCACTTAAATCAAAAATTAACAACTTTTATTTGGGCAAAACGTTTCGGTCTTTTGGGAATTCGTGTAAACGCAACGTTTGAAATAAATTATTCAAATTTGGTGTTTTGTTTTAATCGCCCTCTTGATAATTGCAACAGGGCCGGATTGACCGATAAAACAGTGTTCTTTTTTGTGTTAAATGTCAAACAAATGTCAATTCTGTTGCATAATTCGAAGACGAATTTTTGTTTGTAAAATTAGTTCATTGTGATGGAAATTTATGTATGAAATTGTGATTTAAGCCGAGCATGTAATCGTTTTAACATCGTTGAGGAGGAGGAGCAGCACCTGGGGAGATAATTTTCAAATAAAACCAAACTTTTACTTTATAATTTTTACTCAAAAACATGTTATTACACGACAGGAATTTTTACATCATTATTTTTAATGGAATTTCACGTAATTCGAGGCACTTTCACCGAAAATTACGACAAATTGTTTCAAAATTAGAAATTTTCACTTCTTGGGTTAGCAATTTTGGACAAACCAAACGTCAATAGTGATTTTCGAGAAGGTGGTACTCCTGTTCCTGTTAAAAATTCCTAATTAAACTAGTGACTTTTCGTTTGTTGATACTCCGACTCAAAAAAAAAACCACTGCAGTCACACCAACTTAAAAAATCCTCGAATTTTCTTTCAATTTCCACTAAATAACCCCTCTAATGAGAAACTCGTGTGATATCGACCAAACAAACGCCGATCTAACTCCACATTTTATGTTAATTAAATTGTGAACACGACGAAACATTTCTCAAACTAATCATAAATTATTCCGAACAGGAAACGGAAATGTAATAATGTTGCGATAAGACAAAATGGCCGACTGAAATATTTCACCAATTTGGAGCGAAATTTTTAGCCAAAGAAGGCTGTGCTAAGGTCAAGGACAAGACAATCGTGACGAGAAAACAGTGGCGCCATCTAGTCCCATATTGTGTCTAAAATGTCACTCAAATGTCAAACTTTTTACGCATACTTAATTTCGCTTTTGTTTATTGTGTGCGTCACAGGCGCCATCTGAACGGTGGCGTTTTACACTATTTATAGCACAAATTTCTGGCTCATCATGTATATTATTATTATTATTATTTGATTGATTTAATTAGTAATTAGATTGAATTAAATTGTGAATAATATAGATAGGTGGTTTTTACCTTCCTCCCCCCGAAAATCGAGTATCCTTGGCGTTTGCAGTCGGATAAAATCGAAAAAAAAGACAATCACTGGGTCACTAGATGAATTATAATAGCGTTTTTCACTTTTTTCGACATTATAGGAAACGACGTTCAATTTTTTCGGTGGATTTGGACTGTTGTAACCGACACAAGATGCTTCAGGAGACTGAACCACTCACCAGCAGTCCAATAAGAACCGGCTGACAGGGGCGGAGCGGGGGGAGGGGACCCACTCAGGGCCCAAAAATAATCAAGTTTTTTTTTTAATTCTGACATGTTTTGGTAGTATTGACAGTTACTTATTATTGTGTCAAATTTTTTCAAAAGAGCCAACTTGAGTTTTTAGTGATGAATAAAAATCGTGGTTTTCCTCGAAAATGCAGTAAACATAATTCAATTATGCATAAATTGCACAATAAAAATTTATTTGATTACTAATAACAACAAACAATTATTTACACTGATAAGCAATGTTTATTTACCAAACAATCCGGCCCTGGCCTTGTCCCCACTCCTACCAACCCGACAAACCAAACCCCACCAAAACCTCAAAAATTCCTCTTTAACTCGACCCAAGCCCTCATTTCCCCCTCACAAGCCTCAAAATTCTATTAAATTTAATAGAATTTTATAAATTATATAAAAAAAAATTATTTAAAGTTTCCAAAAAAAAAAAACAGTCGGTAAAGCAGTGCCCTTTAGTGACCAAAACCTAACCTGCAATGTCGTGACAATGTTCCGTCGCAATGAAATCGCAATTTTTGCGATTCTAGCAAGTGTGTGCCTCCTTTTGGTGGTGTTCAATCAAAAGGAGGCCCCCCGGTACCCCCTTTACGAGTACGAGCGCCCCAATGTGTCTCACATAACCTCTCAAGATGTGGTGAAAATGCAACAACAGAATATCAGACTCTCCCTCAGGGATTACCCCTTTCCACCAGAGAAGACACTTGATGATTACACACCGGTGACGGGCGGCAGCCCCCTTCGAACCATCATTGTGACGACGTGGCGCTCCGGGTCCACGTTTCTGGGGGATGTACTCAACGCAGTCCCGGGGAATTACTACCACTATGAGCCCCTTCTAGACTACGGAATCGTGCAAATCCGGGGACCCCCATACGCCGAGTCGGCATTAACCAACCTCAAGAAACTCCTCAACTGTGATTACTCAAATATGGAAAATTATCTTGATTTCGGTAAAGATCACACTTATTTATTCATCCATAATCGAAGATTATGGAATTTGTGTGAAGCCTTTCCTCAATTTTGCTTCAACAGTCGATTTCTCACTCAATTGTGTCAAGTTTTTCCGTTTCAATCGATGAAGACAGTCAGGATACGGCTCAGACTCGTTGAGGAGCTCCTCAAAGACACTAAGTAGCCCCCATGAGTGTGATTTAGCCCCCCAAATGACACATTTTCGTTGCAGATTGAACGTTAAAGTACTACTTTTGGTACGAGACCCTCGAGGGACTCTCCAATCGAGGAAACACAGAGATTGGTGTCCTGGAGCCCCCGATTGTGATAAACCGAATCTAGTGTGCGCTGATATGGTGGCCGATTACAGTGCTGCCATCCAAATGAAAAAATTGTACCCGGATCGGTTCAGGTATGCGACTTTCACTCCACGACATAAATACCGATTTTTTTCTACAATCACTTTGATTGGTACCGGTTTCTATCTTATCGGCTCAGTACAGATTTCTATACTATTTAAAAGCAGTTTCCTTCATTACCGACTTTTTTTTTTTTTTTTCGGTGGGGTAAAAAACTCAGTATTCGGCACATTTCAGAGCCATCCGCTACGAGGACCTCTGTGCCGACCCCTACGGCCATGTCCACAGCCTTTTCGAATTTTTCGGTTTGTATTTTCATCCAGCTGTTCGAGATTTTCTCGATTCGCATACGAAACAGGACGTAGGAGGCGTTTCTAGTACACATCGTGACACCAAAAACGCCCCCTTTCGTTGGCGTACCGAACTCAACTTTTCCGAAATACAATACATCGAAGACAGCTGTGATCAAGCAATGAAACTATGGGGTTACATCAAAGCAAGCGATGAAACACACATACGTGATTTTCATCCACTTACCAACTATACAATACAGTGAAATTACAGGAAACTGTAATTTTAATTTGGGTAGAGTTAAGTACAAAAACAACGCTTTAAGATCTCTCTATTGGTAATGAAGTTACTAAAAAAAAATTTTTTTTTTTTGATATTATCAGTGATCTGGCTACTGCAATAACGTCCTAAAATTTTTTGCTCAAGCACTTCGTTTGTCTCCCTAATTAGTCAATTGTTTGAACTAAATATCACGTAGATGCATATCTTGAAGAATTAATCATAGTGTGCCTTGTACACTGAGCACTTGATTTTTGCACATAATGAGCCTTTTTTAGATATATGACACGCCACAATCACGTTTTGGGCTTCCAAATTTGACAGCTTAGAAATGCCTAAAATACGATTATTGTGATCTTTTGTTATTTTGTTACGTATTTATTTATTAGGATAGTATTTTAGCCATCTTTTGTTTTTTTTTATATGTATATATACAGATATTTTACATAATCAAGTATACTGAGGTGGCCTACTAATATCACGTGTTATACATTCACGTAATTACATATTTACAAGAAAAAAAAACACTTAATTGTTTTATTTTAAACCTTCCAAATAAATAAACTTACAAAAACAATAAATAACGAAATCAGTCGTTTAAAAAAATTGGAATTGGCAAGAAATAACAATTCTAACCTCAAAAACCCTAACCTTGATGATCCCTCATTGTCATTCCAATCGTATCCTCTGAATATTTACACTCTAAACTGCCACAAAGACACGAAAATAATTTATATTTCGCCATCCAGAATTTTTCTCCATAATCAAAACTCAATTCCTCCTCTCCTGAAATATCCCGATTTGCGAAAAACGCAATCCTTGGAAACCTCAAATCTTGATGATCGATAAAAACTTTAATTGATGTTAAATTAGGACTACAGGAATGATTAATAAAACGTGCAAAATTCCCGTAGAATTTTGCGTCGATACAGTAGGAATCTACATCCTAAAATTGCAAATTTAAGCACAATTTTTAACAAATTCAACAAACTTACTTGATTTTTGCATACACGATTCTCCAAATCGAACAAAAAACTATCATCTTCACGCTTATCAGCTTCAGAATCGGTGATAATCTCACCGATATATTCGCATACAAAGCTCCCTCTAGGAATCGGACGCAAACTACGAATTCCCCAACCTCTATCCAAAGTTTTAAATAATTCAAATCGTTGATTTGGACCTTTTTGGACAACACGATTATTGCACGTAATTGCATTACACTGACATCTATCGTTGCATTCAAAAATCATTGGTATATCTACAAGTGTCAAATTAATTGACAGTTTTTTTGACATATGACAATTCATACCAACATAATTAAAGTCAGGGATTAATTTACCTTCCTCATCGTACCAACATCGTAGCGATAATTTACCACATTGACACTCATCATCAACACAACGTTCCTCACATTGGCAACACTGTAAATCAGTGATTTTTGTGTCAATTTTAACATCATCTGACGTTATACAATTTTTTGTCACATATTTGAAATCATTTGGGTAGGTATCATTGTCAACACTGTTGTAACATTGAATTGGATTACTTTCACGTCCCTTAGTAATATCACTAAAAAAAAATTCCCCTAGTTTTTTTTACTAACTTTTTTTTCCCCTATACTTGCACAAAACGACGTTTTGACTGTTGTAACCGCCCCCTAGTGTCACATTTAACGCAATCACACTATAGGAATCCCCTCCAGCTGGTACACAATCCAATGGTGACTCGTTATTTTTATTCAAAAGTGTGACATCAGCCCCCCTTGCTAATAAAACAATGTTACAATCGTACATATCCTGACGTGCCCCTATATGTCTGAAAATAATAACATTTCATTGGTTGAATTGACAAAAAGGGGTGTGGTTTAATTACAGGGGCGTGTCACCATGGGCGTTGATTGCATTCACGTCACACCCTTTATCCAATAAGAGACCGGCAATGTGACAACTGCCACTAAATGCCGCCCAATGAAGTGCAACATTATGTTCAACATCACGTATAGATGGATCCGCCCCCTTCACTATGAGAAAATCGGCAACGTTGCCATAACCATGCTCACATGCCCATACTAGGGGTGTCCAACCACCATCATCTTGACAATTGACTGATTTACGTGGGGAATTTTCAACGAGTAATTGACATGCTTGTAAATTACCACATTTTGCCGCTAGATGGAGCGCAGTCATACCATCAGTGCCCTATATTACCGACTAATAAAAATTATTTTTATCACTTTTAATTACCTTAAGATGAATATCAGCGCCTGTTTTAATTAAATAACGAACTGTTTCGTTATTGGCGGCCATTACGGCCGCCATTAAAGGTGTGTTTTGATCCTTATCGTAGATATCGGTTTGTGTCCCGGCTACGACAAGCATATGAACGATCGAAACGTTGCCTTTTTCAGCCGCTAGATGCAGTATTGTACCGTCATGGCATTCTGGGATTTTGGTATTGACATCGAGTGTTTTCGAACCTACGAAATAGCGATTTCTACTGTCAAAAACAAGAAAAAAAAAGAATTTTTTGTGAAAAAAAAACAAAAAAAGTGAAAAACTTACCTAAAATCGTGGCGATTTTTTCCAAAGCGTTATTTTTGACTGCAACAATTAATTCGTTCATTTCGTACACTTCGTCGCCATATTCGAATGAATTTTCTAATTCAAATGATCCTATTGGAATCAAAGGTGGCGTTAAACATTTCATTTCTTCTGTTTTAAGAGTCGAAAATGTCATTCTTGCCGTAATACTAAAAAATTTTCAAATAATCAACAAAGATTTTTAATTAAAAACACAATTTCTAGTACCACAAATCGATATAAAAAAGTGGCTCCATTTCTGGAAACAAAAAAACTCTATCTACCTAATAATTATTAACAAATTTTTTTTTGGTATGTTGTAAAACTGACTTACTATTGGGCCTTTTGTACCGGTAAAAAAACCGGTTTTTTCCCCAATTGCATCACAATATCAACTTGATAAGAAATACCAGAAATGCCACAATGTGGACAACAATCAATGTCGCCTATTGACAAATGACAGTCTTTGTGATACTGATGTTTATTCTCACATTCGACGAAACGTCCCTTAAATATAAAATACAATCATAGAGTTACATACAATTTTTTTTTCTACTACCTGTGTACAAAAAATACCACATGTTGGACAACAATTGTGACGCAAAAGACGATTTTTATGCAAATCGCAAAAAATCGTGTATGGAACTCGGGTTGAAGGTCGCAATAACATCAAGTCTTTGGTTACTACAGTGCGTCCACAACCGATTAGTTTATCATCGATGCTGTCCACAGCAGCGCAGTAGGCCGTTTCTGTCAAAAACAAAAATTTCAATGTCAAAAACAAAAATTCAACAAAAACTATTTTGCGGATTTTATTTCAATTTTTGTTGTCAAATACCAAAATGTGTCAAATTTGGAAAAAAAAACAAAAATTCAACAAAAATTGTCAAAAATATTAGAACATTTTGCGGATTTCACTTCTTGTCAAATACCAAAATGTGTTTCAAATTCAAATAGTCAAAAACTTTAAAACACGAAAAATTGTCAAATACAATGCAAATTGTCAAACTCGAGAAATGACTTCTCCAATAAAAAAAAATTGCAAAATTTTGATTAGTGCCTCCGCCCCCCAGCCCCCTTTTACCCTCATTCGTCGCGAGAAAGAATCTAGTCGTCTTCCGACACAAACACGTCTCTTTGGCTCCCTCATACTCCTCATCTTCATCCACAATTTCACTCTTGTTCCTCCGACAGCCCCCTTCATCCGAATCCGTCTCTTTCTCACTATCCCCTTGCCCCAATTTCGCCCTCTTCACCCTCCGACACTTATTATGCTTATGTTTGTGTTTTTTCACAAGTCTTTCGCTTTCCTCACACTCAAAAAATCGATTTTTCTCCATTTTCGCCAACGCTAAATTCTCAAGAATTTTCTGTGTCGGCTTCAATTGTCTCGTGAGTCTTTGGGGCTTATTTGACTCGTTATAGGATTTCTCCTTTCGCGCTATTGCACTCTGTAATACCGACTCAGAGCAGTCTTTACTGCGTCTTCGGGCTGATCTCTTCAATTCGGGCTTCTCAGAATCGGAGTTCTTGCGACGAAGGGAGCGTCGCCCCCCGAGAGGTGAATCACACGAATTTGGCTTCTTGAACGAGAGAATGATACGAGGTTTCTCCTCTTCGTCCGTTTCGGTCTTTATGGGGGCGTCATGGGGGCTATTAAATTCACTTTTCATCTCGCCAAGGATTTTATCAATGATGGTTTTGTCACTGCACGAATTGCTCGATTCGGAGTCACTTTCACCACTGTTCATTATGGGGGCACTCAATTGGGGCGCATTACATGGTTTTTTCAACGAAAATTGTGAGAAATGTCAACAAAATTGTTTGACATTTGACAGAACAGAAATTATTGAAGTGTCAAAAATTCCGAATAAAGCGAATTGTTTATTTTTATTAATTATGTTATTAAATCTTGTTTCAAATAATAAAACACAAGCAAATAAAGTTTGTTAAATATAAAAAACTACCATTAATTGTTAAAAAACTAGTATTAGTGGTTGCCTAAATATGGTGTGTTTATGCAACCAACATTGCACATGTTTCAAAATTTGTTAATAGCTCTTGATGGACATTTTAACCGATTTTGTGACTTTTTTAGTTGTTATTTTTACGTTTTTCTCTTTATGGTTAAATTTCAAGTCATTGAATAATGTTGTTGGGGCCCCAAAGTGTCAAAATTGTGTCAGTCTCTGTCAGTGTCAAAAAAATGTAAGTCTCTCAAAATGTTGAACAACACGAAAACCGACCACTCAAAATCGATTTTCTCCTACAACGTGTATCGCACCAATAACCATCAAGCCCGTCCCAATCTCCGCCCACCTCCCACTTTCAAGTCCTCCTCTCTCTCCTCCACCCTCTCCAAAGACCCTGAAATCCTCTACTTCAACGAGAAGATTCTCCGTCGAAAAACCAAGAATCAGAAAGTGATTGAATGTAGTACCCAAACGAGTAAAACAATCCTACAGTTGGCACAACTGGAAACCATCAAAAACGGTACTTTTATCACGCCCTTCCCACATTTTGAAACTCCGCCTCAAGACGGCCCACTTAACCTATCCCTGCATGTGACTCCGCCTCTCATGTCACCCGATAGTCTCGCCGCCAGTCCTCGTAACGTCTCGATGCTCAATTGTCCGTATTCGGTGACCAATCGGCTCTCAGATTACACACTTGATGGTTCGTGTACCGAACATGATTTGAAGAAAAACTCAGAAGTGCGCAGCCAATCATTTATCGAGTCTTATCCCCACCCGAATTATATACAAGATCCCGCCCCCAAATCAAAAATTCCCAAGCCACGATTCGCTAGACGCAGTTCGAAATCGCTTGAACTTCCCGATAATTCGTTTGTACGTCGTGTCTCCTCCCCCTTTTGCCACGCCCAGAATAGTTTCATGTCCCCCACCAAATCTAGTCAGATTAAAAGCAATATGGCGGATATAAAAAGTGCGAATTTTTTGATTCCACCAATGAGGAGAGGTCGTTCAACGAGTCCGAAACCAACTTCAGGCAAGAAATGGTTCGAAACGTCGAGGAAAATTCCATATATTGATCAAAGTAGGTCAGATATGAGTAGTTCGACGACTCTTGTTAATGCATCGAGAAATCCCGAATTAGTGAGATTGGAAGGGATTGAAAGGGATTTGTCCAAGAGTGAATTAAGTATCAAAATATCGGATGTGAGGAAAGGGATTTGAGGTAGGGATTTTGAGGATTATTTGAGGTTTGTTTTAGGATGTTTTGAGTTTGATTACGAACGCACAAGTCTCTAATTCGTCCGTCGATACGACCATTTGTATGGCTGTGAATAAATTGAGGGAGCCGGATTGGTAACTATTTTTGACTATTTGATGTTTTTGACTATTTTTATACAACGTGGTGTTTTTGACGTAATTTTGATTCCTAAAATTGACAATTTCTCATATTTTTGTCAAATTTTATTATTCCATATAAGACTGTAGGTTTTTGACAATTTTCTTTACTGTATTTGACTGTTTGTGTTGTTTTTGACGCACATTTTTTAACTTCAAAACATTTTTTCAAAAATGAAATAAGAGTTTTTGTCAAATCAAATCGCTGTTTTTGACACTTTTTTTTAAACGACAACAAATGTAGTTATATGTTTTAATTATCTGTTTAAGTTTGATATTTTGACATTAAAATAGACAGTATTTTTACTAACACAAATTTCGGTTTTTGACACTTTTCGTCTTTTTACAACAAAGTTTAACTTTAAATAGAAAACAGAGAGATAGGAGATATATGACAACCGTTATTATAGTATGATTTTTGACAAATAAATGAAAGTTTTTGACATCATACATTACTGTTATTTTGATTTGTCAGAACACAGCTTGACTTTTTAGCTTTATGATAATTATAATCAGTAAATTACTTGTTTTTATTATATTAGCTATTAAAATATTTTACTGTTTTTGACAATGACATAAAGGTTTTTGTCAAAATTATAGTGTATTTGATCGTTTATTTTGTTTCTAACAATAATTATTTTGTTTTTGACACTTTATTTTAAAAAGTATGTTTTTGACAAATCTAGAAAATATTTTTGACATTCTGAGTTAGTGAACCAAAAATTTTATTATTATTATTGTCAATGAATTTGACTGTTTTTAACAATAACATTTAGGTTTTTGGTTTTAGTCATTTTGTTATTTGTTTTTTGACATTATATATTTTTCTTTTTGGCTGTTTTTGACACTGACGTACGTATTTTTGACAAATTTAATCAATGTTTTTAGATTTTTACTCTTTTGTAGCAACATTATTTTGGTTTTTGACAGGACAAAATGTAGTTTAGTAGAGTATTTTGATACTGACATGTGTCTCTGATAAAACTTAGTAATTTTAGTGTTTTTAACAATAATGTTTTCTTTTCTGAAAACTTTAAAGACAATATTGAATGTTTTTGACAATATATATTTTTGTTTTTGACTGTTTTTGACACTGACATATGTTTCTGATAAAATTTTAGCGATTTTAATCATTTACTTTAATATGTGTTTTCTTGCAAGAATATATTATATCTTTTTTACAGAATGTATTTTTGTTTTTAACTGTTTTTGACATGTGTTTTTGACATTCAATGTTTTCACATTTTATTTTTTTAACGACAGTATTTTGGTTTTTGTCATCAAGGTAGACAAAGTATAGTCTAGTGTTTTTGACATTACCTATTTTTGTTTTAGACACTGACACCTGAGTGGCTAATAAAACCTGTTTCTAACAAAAACGTTCTGTTTCTTGACAACTTTAAAGGAAATTTGATATGTTTTTGACAATTTAAATTTTAGTTTTAGACGGTTTTGGACACCGACATATACGTTTTTGACAAATCTAATCTATGTTTTTAACATTTTATTTTTTTTTCCAGGACAGTATTTCGGTTTTTGACACTAAAGTAAACAAAATATAGTCTAGTAGAGTGTTTTTGACACTACATATTTCCGTTTTTGACACTCACATATGAGTTTTTGATAAAACCTTAATGATTTACTTTGTGTCTAACAATAATATTTTGTTTCTTGACAATTTGTACGTTTTTGATACTAGCATATATGTTTTTAGCATTTTTACTTTCTGTAATGACAATATTTTGGTTTTTGGCACTAAAGTAGTGTTTTTGACACATTTTTTTCTGTTTTTGACAAGGAGGTTGGCCCTTCGCGGTCTCGCCGACATTGTGGAAATCTGTCGTGTGATCGACATTGACCTCATCTACGACTACATGCCAAGCATCCATCAACGTCTCATCGAATTATTAAAAAGTCCACGTTCGCACGTATGTCGTACAGCATGTCAAGCAGCTGGTCATTTATTCGAATACGTCAAAGACACACGTCGTCCCGAATTCGACGATATCGTCGACATACTCCTCCACAAAACGGCCGATTCGAATCGTTTCATTCGACATGATGCCAATTTGGCACTCGATTGTATGGTAACACATATATCGACATTCAATGCAGTGCGAGCATTGTGCCAAAAAGGGCCATTTCATAAAAATCCATTGGTGAGGTGTGCCACAGTGAGGCTTCTGGTGTGTGCAATTGTGATTGCGGGACCAGATTTTGTGCTAAATCCCAATAATAATGAGTATACGAGAAAAAGGGTGATTTTGAATATGGCGAGGTTTTTGGAGGATAAGAATTTGGATACAAGGTGATTTGGAAGTTTGGGATTGAGGGGGGAATTTTTTTGTGGTTTTTTTGTAGGAAATTAGCAGAGAGATTGTATAAAGTGTTGTCGAAAGATACGAGATTTGAAGTTTATTTGAAGAAATATCTAGAAAAGGAACAAATTACCAAGATTAAAAAGACTTTAAGGATTATACACAAGAAATGAGTTTTTATTATTATGTAAGGTACAGGGTGTTTTAATAAAGCTCTATTGAGTCAGAAAACAGCTTTTCACAATACTTAATCCTCAAAAAAAAACAAAAAACTTAAGATGTGTATTGTTGGTTGCATAACTACATTGTGTTTTTTATTAACCTATTAGAGTTTTTAGTTTTTATAGCTCGCAATATTAACTACTCAGTCATTTCAATGACAAAAAAATGTTTTTATTGCAAATTCAATGATTAATTAATTACTTTATAGTAATTTAATCCCGGTGTGTTGGTACAACATATCAAATTTTAAGTTGGCAACGAACCTCCATCTTGTTTAAAAACCTTTTGTGTTTGAATTTTTGTGTTTAGTGCCGTTTTGGGACTACAAAACAGGAAAAAAGTGAGTCTAAACGTAAAAAACAACTTTATTTCAATTTCTAACAAATTTAATTTAGCTTAGTTTGATTTTAATTACAAATTGCTTTGAAAATTTTTAACCTTTTTGGTAATTTTCGTTGTTTAAAAACCACAAAAAACGATATTAATAACCTAACTATTTGAATCATTTTCAATAACAAAAAATTGTTTTTATTGCAAATTCAATAATTAATTAATTATTTTATAGATATTTAATACCGGTGTGTTGGTACAACATAAAAAAATTTAAGTTGGCAACAAACCTCCATCTTGTTTAAATATACTTTGTGTTTGAATTTTTTGTATTTAGTGCCGTTTTGGGACTACAAAACCGGAAAAAATTGAGTCTAAACGTAGAAAACAACTCTATTTTAATTTCCAACAAATTTAATTTAGCTTAGTTTGATTTTAATTATAAATAATTGAATTGAAGATTTTTAACCTTTTTGGTAGTTTTCACTGTTTAAAAACCACAAAAAACGATTAATTACAAACTAGGGAGTTGAGTAATTGTGAAAAACATTGATTTTTAGTTAATTTGTGTCTAGAAAATGTTTGAAATTTTGGTTATTTAAATTTTAAATTACCAGTTATGTATTGTCGGTTGCATAACCACATTGTGTTTTTTATTAACCTATAAAAGTTTTTAGTTTTTATAGCCCGTAATATTAATTATTCAACCATTTACAATAATAAAAAATTGTTTTTATTGCAAATTCAATAATTAATTAATTATTTTACAGTAATTTAATCCCGGTGTGTTGGCACAACATATCAAATTTAGGTTGGCAACGAACCTCCATCTTGTTTAAAAACAATTTTTTGTGTTTAGTCCCGTTTTGGGACTATAAAACCGGAAAAAAGTGAGTCTAAACAACTCTATTTTAATTTCTAACAAATTTAATTTAGCTTAGTTTGATTTCAATTACAAATAATTGAATTAAAAATTTTTAACTTTTTTGGTAGTTTTGCTGTTTAAAAACCACAAAAAACGATTAATTACAAACCGGGGAGTTGCGTATTTGTGGAAAACATTGAATTTTAATTAATTTGTGTCTAGAAAATTTTGGTTATTTAAATTTCAAACTTCTAGTTTTTGCCTAAAAATGTGTTTTTGTGACCGTAATTAGGCCCCAATTAACGTTTTTAGCCATCACATTAATTTCAGGTGATTAAATCATGTACTGTTGGTTGCATAACCACTAGGCGTTGCATAAAAAATCAATTATCTAGACTTAATTACAAGTTTCAAAGTGATATTTCGTTTCGTTTCGTAATTTTTTTGTATGAAACGCTGACGTAATTCTTCCGAATCGTCCAAATTAGGCTCCTTTCGTCGTCAAAATACGATTTGAGTTAGCATCTGCATCGACTTAATGATCTCGAATCCGACCAATTCATAAAAGTCGTCGTTTTTCAGGAAAATCAAACACGCAATTACATCACAAAATTTGTTTATTCTCTTGCAGAAATTTACACAAATGACCAACAGCTTATACATTAGCATGCGAGTGTGTGTGTTTTACAATTATTACACAAAAGGTGCGAAAAACTCTGATAATTAATCGAATTTATCACACGTAAAACACTGGGGGGTGAATTACTCTTTCTATTAATTAATTAATTACTTAATTAAGAATGAAAAAAAAATACTCGAAAGGATGACAACGTCTTTGACTAGAATATAGTTAACTAAGAAGGTTGGTACTCTAATGTGGTGGAGATCGGTGGCATTTTCAACATTGCGATGCGTTTTAGGATAATTAATTGGTTTCATGGTCGACCGCTTGAGCCATCATGAACGCTGCTTCCTGTAATTTGATAAATAACTACATTAGGGAGTGATTGGGGGGCGGGTCATCGATATACCTATGCACTTGCAAAACATCAAAACAAACAACATTTTTCATTTGATAGAAAATTAAATATCTGTAAAATACGAAATTTTGACCGGAAAACTGGAAAATAACAACAGATTTGGATTTTCCACCACTTGAATCATATTCTTGTATTAAGTGGCTTTGCCCCCCGAGTAATGGGCAAAAATTGGGTTTTTGCATTACTTGATAATTACCTGGAAATTTATTTTTGCACCAGTTTCAAGCATTTGAATAAGAATTTCAATTGAATAAATTACAAAAAACATAACCTCAAACAACACTGAACCAGATTTAAGTTGGTACCATTTTTTGCGATGCTTTTTACTTGATTTAAAAAAAAAATAAACAAAAAACCAGTCCTTTTTTGTGCTTTTTGTCCAAATTTTTTACATTTTCCAATAAATTACGTAATTCTATCGTTTTTTTGTTATTGTTTACAAATTTTTAATTTGAGTGACTTTCTTATTTACTTGATTTATGTTGGTACGAATTTTCACAACAGTCAATTGTTTGCAAAAAATGGTTTTGTGTTTTTTTGCCTAAATTTTTTAAAAATATTGAAAAAAGTGCAACCAGTTATTGACTTTTTTGTTAAAATTTTGAAAAAATGCGTGGATTTGTTTAAATTTGAGTGATTTGTCAATCCGTGTTTATTGACTTGAATGACTTTATTTATTCTAGATTTACGTTGGTACGAATTTTCGCGACAGTCAATTGTTTGTAAAAAATGCGTCGGTTTTTGGGAGTGTTTTTTAGTCGGTCTTTGTGTTTTTCGCCTAAATTTTTTAAAAATATAGTAAAAAGTGCAATGAGTTATAAAATTCTATTAACTTCTTTGTTGAAATCTTTAAAAAATTTGCTTTCCAGTGATACCAAATACAAAACACTAGCACCATTAACTCCGGAATTATTAGCAAAATCTCGACAAAAATTAAAAAAAATCAACTATAAAATTGTTCCATATAACGTTTTTTACATTTCTCTAGGTCTTAAAGACTCAAAAAAGTGCATAAAACTGTATTGAGTCAAGTTTAAAAATTACGAATTTTTTGAGTTTTTCAAAAAATTCGTTTAGTAAAATCGTAAAAATAGTCAACTTAGTAAAAGTCATAAAAACACTTGAAATATTGTTTTCTAGACGTAAAATTACGCGCTGAACACGATGCAACTAGTTAAAATACTCTACGATGCATAGTTTTTGAGATATTGAGTAATAAATTCAAAAATAAGGGTAGAAATATCCGATTTTAACAAAAAAATCAAAAATTTTTAATTCTTATGAAAAACTAGTACTATATGTAAAATTAACCGGAGAACACGCCTGTACAAACCCTGTTGACCTAAGACTCATAGTTTTTGAGATATGATTTTTTTTTTGAAAAAACTAAAAATGGCTCTGTACCCGGAACCATAACCCGGAGCGACTTCCGGTTTGCGCCAATAAATAGATAATTTCA